ACATGTATTATTTTCTCTCGTAACAATTTCTACGTGGATCACTAGCTCAAGTTTAACGCCCGAATTCTTGTAACACCTGTTCTCGTCGTAGCACTGTTTATTTTTAAATCAACTAATGACCTGCACTAAGCTAACATTCATATTGGCCGAGAAAATAGAGAGGAATATTAAACTCAATTCAACGCTAGGGTAGCCAAACGCTTCTCAATTTCAGTGACCCTTTTTACTATACTTCCTTGCTGCTAGCTTCTTCAGTTTCCAGTAATAATTTTTGCTGTCCTCTGCCGGGTCTCCAGACACTGCTTCGGCACCATTTCCTTCCATCACATCCCCAGGGCTAGCCCGAGGAGACTTACATTCGGAGGGCGACTCATACTTAGTTTTGTCAGTTTTAAATCCAGGCCAAAAATCAGACCATTGCTTCACATTTCCATGGCTTTTAACGCAGCTTTTTGATGACTCAGCGATCTGCTGTGCAGATAGAACTCTATTCCATAGGTTAACCCCACTCAGGTAAACTACCTGACTGTAGTAGCTAAGCACCGTTAAGGTTCCACCACCTGGTAATGAATTTTTGATTATTCCACCTGGAGTATCTTTACCACCTTTGCCAGTGCTATCTTTAACCCCGTCCACGTATGCCACAGTCACCCCAGTTACACCGTTCCAAGTAACGCAAACATGATGCCAATTGTAGTCATCGAGAAATTTCTTTGAAAACACGAAATATCTGTGTACGTGCAAAAAAAAGGGAGGGAAACGCAACGTTAGCTACACATTTCACATGTATGCCAATTGTTTCCCGCAATGACCATTTTTGTACTGCAAAGTTGCTTTCTGCGTTTATGAGCATCTAAACTGGTTAAAGATATTAGTACAATGGGCTTTCTTTTAGCGATCTGACCAAGGATGAATTTCTTAAGAGTGTGTCCATGAGATAATGAGATAATGAGACACGCAGGCTAGGTTTTCTCATGCACACACTCTTAACGTGTTCTTGGCAAGTTTTGATTGCGATATGAAGTGTGTGTCGTACAACGCCTAGTGAAAAATGAATTTATATTTTACCTTCGAATTTAGCAATTGTCTAGATCTCTTCAATCCGCCTACTGGTGCCCGACCTTGCTCAAGCTAAGTATGTAACACTAGCGTTCAATTCCAAATGAAAATAAGAAAAACTAGCCGCCGTCGCAGTTGTCCGTTTCGTAAACGGTCGATGCCATTTTCGCGACAATTAGAAATTTTTTTAACTATCAACGAATTCTTCTTTATTAAATTAAGGGTGACGTTTTCCTTGCCGTCGTCGTCGTGGTTCGCTTAAGCTTCCTATTAGCAAAACGAAAACGGCGACGGGAGCGTCGCTAAACAAAAGGTTTAATGAGAAAAACAATGGCTATGCACTTGCGTTATAATTCTTGGTACATTTCTTAGCCGTCCTCTGTAAAACAACAACTTGAAATGACCAATTTCCAATTTTTTAAACAACGGGACCCACTATGGGTAAATTTTGGTATTTCTATTTTGAACTGAACGCATTCGTAGCATATTCCAGGGTCCCAAAGGGTTTGAGGGCTTCAGGGCTCCGGGCCTAAAACAAAGCGGGGCTCCAGCGCTTAAAGGCAAAAAAAGAGGGCTCCAGGGCTCCCTGGCATCTACATGGGGCTCCGGGCTCCGCTTTGGAGACTGTTATCTAGTAGGCTGCAGTCCCAATCATCATGCAAAATGCAATCAGGGAACGAACGAAATTCAAAATTCAGCGATTTTTCGTCTTTTTTTGTCTTTCTTTACGAGTAAAGGCTAAACTGAAAACGTAGTAAACAGAAAACGTCTCTGAAATGGCGGGTAAATAATCATGGTCACGTGCCCATTTTCTTGGCCTTTCCACAAATACCACGTAACATCGCCTGAATATCTTTCCAGAAATTCTCAAAAAAATTTCTAAATATTACAAAAGTGTTTTTAAATATCTCAAAAAAACCCTCTAAAGATCTATTTTTGTTGTAAAAAAAAACACCAATTTTGAATCGCTTAAGGCAAAATTTTGAAAATTTTCTTCCAGTAGCAAGAGTCAAGGAAGAAGACTCAGCCACATCCATGTTACCAGCAACCGCTACATTTTGGAAAACTACTCCTTTAGCGCTTCTAGTAATATGGAATACATTTTTCGAGTGGGAAATCGTTGTACTGGATTGTTTTTGGCATAGAACTGGGTATTGTTTTAAGAAAATAGCGAGGAAAACACAAAGCTAAGGAAAAAAAGCTATCCTAAAAAATATTTCTAAATATTTCCAATTTTTTTTTAATGTTTTAATATTTTCTTAATATCTCGAAAACTTTTAAATTTCCCAAAAAATATCCGGATATTTGTGGAAAGGCTTACCATTCCCGCTGCCGTTTGCCTATTTTCGGAAGTCTGACAATTGTCACGTGGGTTCCCTCATCGTTTGCGCTTTGGCGTCGCGTTTGCCGTAAATTTAATTCCGTCTTTGTTTCCTGAAATCAAGTTTTCCGCCGAATCGGGAAGAGGTTTTAATAACTGCTGCCTTTCGAAAATCTTGCTATGTCTGCCTCTTTGGGTACACAGGGTAAGAACTGAGAGACAGTTTGCTTGATGCAACAGCATGCCTATACAAACTGGGAGAGGAAAAGGCCTGCTACCGTTGGAGCTTCATGTTTAAATGTGGTAGAGCTGTGGCGCCCCTTTCCGAGTTTAAGAATTATTTGGTCATAAATCACGGTGTAAAGAAGGTAAAGGACCGCAATTTCCCCAAATCGACAAAGACTGGGTACTAAAAATTATTGACTTTTATTACTTTGGGCTCCGGGCTCCACAACAAACCTCTCAGGGCTCCGTTCTCTGCTGCTAAAAAAGATCAGAGCTCCAGGCAGTGAAATGATCCGGCTCCGGGCTCCAGAGCAAAAAACTGCGGACTCCAGGGCTCCACGGAAACCCCCCTCTGGGAGCCCGGTATTCAGCAAGGCCAAGTTTTAAAACCAACAAACCTTAACACACTGAATAGATCTTCGTAAATGCAAAATCCCGAAGTAAAATATGAACACACTTTTTAATATTCGTTGTCCTTGCCGTCGCCGTAGTAAATGCGTAAGGTCCCTATTAAGGCTCTGCATTGTCCGGAGAATGGGAAACACAACGAATACTTTTTAAAATTTGTTTCCAATTTTACGCTGTGTTCCATATGCAGTTCGCTTCCGGGATAGTTTTGACAAAGAGAAACAAACTACTAAATGAGGTAGATAAGATATGAATTCATTTTTTAAATTTGATCGACGTTGTCCTCGGCGTCTTCGATCCATCGTAGTTACTTAAACTCCCTCTTGTCGTGTCGGATCCTATGCTTTCTTGCTCTAACTTAAGTAGAGGTTAAGTTACAAACCTGTCTGGGTTGGAGAAGCTTAACCCGCCAGTCGGAGGAAAACTCGCTTCAGCGCCATCCCAATGGGTGAAAGATAGGGCGAATCCTTTTTTTGAGCTTTCCTCATGATAATTGACAAGCACATTGTGTCTAAATCCAGTGACACTTGTCTGTGGCATTTTTGTCCACACGCACAAGGTCATGTGATTGAGATATGGCATCTGCTGCACTTCTACCCCACCCATTGGCTTTAAGTTAATCAGTGGTGCGATTGCATCTGTGTAGACTGTCTTCGCGTCAAATGTAGCTGCAAAAAATGCGACAACAAAAAAGTTAGCCAGTGTGTGCAGCAATAGCCTGGCATTGAATAGGAGGTTCAGATTCCAAAATTAAACGAGGCAAGTTCAATTATATATCCAGTGAAGGAGAATGACTGTGCTTTTGAAAATCATCCGAACTCTGAAATTGAAATCTCAACTGAGGCTGCATTTTCTGTTGTCGTGTGTGGTGGTGGTGATTTGAAGATTTTGATCCTTTTTGTTTCTCGGTTTGTAGTTTCGTTGATTGAGTTGCAAACGACTGATTAAAACATTTGGCTTCAGAAAAATACCTAAACGAAAACAAAAGTTCTTGCAATGTCGTTTTTCCTTATAGAGACAAATTAACAATGAATTTGACAGTTACTTGTGAGAATACATTGTTCGTGGCTAGTCTTACGCAGCTCGTTTCGTCCCCGCCAAGGGACTCATCAGAGTCCTTTCTGCTTGGCAAACTCGTTGGGCATCGCGCCCAGAGTCCCGTTCGCTAACAAAATGATGACAGCAATCTCGCCTTATATCGCACAAGGATTCCCGACCACACAAATTCACGAGTGAAAATTGACAATAAAGTTGACAGTTACTTGTGATAATATATTGTTCGTGGCTAGCCTTAAGCAGCTCGTTTCGTCCCGGCCAAGGGACTCATCAGAGACCTTTCTGCTTGGCAAACTCGTTGGGCATCGCGCTTTAAGTCCCGTTCGCTAACAAAATGATGACAGCAATCTCTCCTTATACCGCATAAGGATTCCCGACCGCACAAATTCACGAGTGAAAATTGACAATTAAATCAAGGAATTGTCGTAACTTTTACCTAAGCATTCCTTGCCCTCCACAGGTTCGGTGTCTTTGGGGCATTTTTCTAAGCATGTGTTGGTCAGTGGATCCTTTGCAACTCTGCAAGCCAAGCAATCGGAAGGCTGTAAATCCTCTGCACCAGGAGTTTTACAACCTGAGGAAAATGACAAAACGCAATATTTAGTTGAATGGCTTTTTGCATGGTGCTTGAAAAGCCAAGGGATACTCGTGTTTAGATGTCTGTAAAAATCCAAAAGATAGGTCCTTTTGTAATCAGGAGTTACGTGAACTACCTCTCAGAGCAATTATGGGATACTGTTATTTGAAGACCATTAAAGTGGAAAGAATGTTTCGAGATAAATGCAATAGAACAGGGAGTGCTTCTTTAGGCTACTTCGCCCTATTTAGGCCTCAGGTTCTTTTGTCGTTTTTGAGCCGGTATCTCCAAAAGTATTCAATCACTAGTAATCAAACTCATATCGGTTCAACGTCATTTTGCTCTTTGAAAACGTTATTTTTAAAACCCCCCACCATCGATCTCAGATTTGAAAAACTGAACTGAATGAATAAATAAATAAATAAATAAATAAATAAATAAATTAATTAATAAATTAGTTAATTATAATATTTAGAGAGAAAGTTACATCAGCCCTAGCTGGTTCTATCCCGCTGATCGAATTGGAATTTGGAATTTTTTTTTTTTTTCAGGAGAAATTTAGTACAAGAATCTTTAGAACTGAAATCCAACATAGCACAAAGACATAAATTTGCATAATACATTCTGTCAATACATGGTAGCCATAGAAACATCAAATCAAGTGACCAAACAAGTAACACACTAAGATCTTCATGACAATGCAGCTTTTAGGAAAGTTCGCAAAGTTACTTAATCAATGCTTTTTAAATTAGAAAATGGGGGGAACAGCACAAGCACTTCTTTAATAAGCAAGGGATAAATGGGGTTAAGAATGTCCTTAAATACTGCAGAGTAAAGATTAATCGATAATCTTAAATTTTGAAACTTCAACATTTCTTACTAACCTGCAAAAGGATCACAATATTGATGGCACTTCTGAACACATAAATTTGTTGGGAGATCTTTGTACGTATCGCCTTTGCAGTCTGCATCCGTTGTGTCACGCGGTACAATATGCGCGTCCCATATTTTAACAGCTTCATTCAAGTTGCCAAAAGCGTAAAAGCGCACATTCAAGGGATTGTCGGTGTCAAGGTGCATGAGGTATATATCTCCGCCGTCTGAAGTGCCTAGGGTCTTTCCATATTCAATCAGGGTACTGTCGGGTTTCTCGTATAAGCAGACAAAGTACGACTGATACAGCAAGGTATCTCCTATTGCTAATGCTCCAGTGTCTGATGTTGTTGTAACCTCCGTTTCTCCCTGTGGTAGAGGTACAGCAAAGGATATTCATCGGAATGTAAGTGACAACGTAAAACTACAAGAATAACAGTACATACATACATCAGAACGTTGAATGAAAGCGTTTTACAATATTCCTTTAATTACTGCAAATATTTCCTCTTCTTACTCTCTGGCTGGACTGAATTAGATAAATTGAAGTTTTATCAACCTTGTAAATTGCAACCTTGTTGACTCCCATCTGCACATAGTACCATGTAGAGCGTTTACTGGGCACGGTTGCGAAAATAACGAACATATCACCAGCGGATGAAGCAGTGAAATGTAAGCAACGACCACCTGTTGTTGTTGGGTCAAGTCGCAAGGCATTGGACCATTTTACGTTGCATGGTTTGGGAGCAGCCGGAGGATTGCGTTTCAGCGGCGTGATTGAATCTGAATGCATACGACTGACGCGTGCCAATGGAAATCCAATCATTTCCTCTCTCAACGTGGGGTAAATCTTTTTGGATTCATTGAAATCCTCGTCACTAAGCTCCAAGCTTCCATCTTTCGAGTTATAGCTTAAAACAAGTCCAAATATCGATAGCTTTTGCTTCTTGAGTTGCGCAGTCTTGCCATTACGATATCCACTGTACATGTGGAACTTGCCGTTCTCATCAGCGGTGAACCATCGACCACGTTTGAAGCGAACTTCTCGGGTCATGTTTTTCTGGATTTTCACCGCGCCATCCATCCCACGAGCCAGGTCGTTTTCCATGTCAAATGTAACTCGAATGGTGGTGTTTGCCTGCGTAACTTCTTTCCAGGCTGGAAAGGCAGTAATGGCAAGAAAATCATCG